CTTAAGGCGGCATTCGACTCTGTTGATCGTGAGGTTCTATGGCAGTGTTTGTCACTGAAAGGAGTACCAAAGAAGTACATTAACCTTATAAAGGCTCTCTACTCGAACACAACTGGTCGAGTGAGAGCTTATGGCGAACTGTCATCAGAATTGATTACCTCAAGTGGTGTTCGTCAGGGCTGTCCACTCTCCCCATTCTTGTTCAACTTTGTCGTGGACGTACTTTTAGAGATAACACTCTCCTCATCTAAATTTCCAGGGGTTGAACTTCTACCGGGAGGTTCACTTGTTGACTTAGAATATGCTGATGACATAGTTTTATTTGGTGAAGACGCTGACAAAATGCAGAGTCTTCTGACCACTCTAAGCAACAATGCAAGCATGTTCGGGATGCGATTCTCCCTCTCGAAATGCAAAATGTTGCTTCAGGATTGGGTTACATCGACACCCGAACTAATGATAGGGAGTGAAGTAGTTGAGCGTGTCGACCGCTTCACTTATCTTGGAAGTCTCATCAGCCCTTGTGGTCTGGTGTGTGACGAAATCTCAGCACGGATACAGAAGGCTCGACTAGCTTTTGCCAACTTGCGTCATTTATGGCGTAGGCGAGATATCCGTCTATCAACCAAAGGACGTGTTTACTGCGCAGCAGTTCGTTCCGTCCTACTTTATGGCAGTGAAACATGGCCGGTAAGAGTAGAGGATATTCTAGGGTTACTAGTATTTGATCATAGGTGTCTTCGAAATATTGCTCGTATATCCTGGGACCATCGAGTAAGTAACGCAGTTGTTAGGAAACGGGTACTAGGTAAGGATGGCAAATCAATTGATGAAGTAGTGAAACTTCATCAGTTGAGATGGCTGGGACACGTGTTACGTATGCCCAACGACCGACTGCCTCGACGTGCGATGTTCAGTGGTATAGGAGTAGGTTGGAAGAAAGCTAGGGGCGGCCAGACCAAAACATGGCACAAGTCCATGAAGTCACTGACAAGTGGACTGAGTCATGTTGGTAGGTGTAGACTACCTCGTTGGTGACCATGAGATGAAAGCAACCGATAGTCAGAAACCCTGAATGACATGGCTGAAAATGGTTTGCAATGGCTCAGGTGCATGCACTCTTTGTGTTCTCCCAAATTTTGATCTCTTAGTTCCTCCTTGTCTCCTTTCTTTTTCTCTTCCAAAATTACAATTATATTATTGATGGTAAACCTTTTCTAACAACATAAAGACTTAGGAGTAATAATAAGTCATGACTTAAGAACAACTACGCATTGCAGCGCAGCTGCTGTCTGAGGTTTTCGTGAGTTATGGTCACTTTGCCGAGAGTTCAAATCTTTTGACGAGGAAATGTTTCAAATTTTATATTCCACCCACATAAGACCACACTTAGAGTACTGTATCCATGCAGCTAGCCCATGTCTGGTAAAGGATAATAACTCACTTGAGCGTGTCCAGCGTGTTGGAACGAAATTAGTGAAGGGTCTTTCCAAACTCCCTTACGATGAGCGTTTAAAACGCCTAAACCTTTTCCCTTTGTTGTATCGTAGCACACGAGGAGACCTTACACTGGCATTTCATATCTTTAATTAGGATTTGTGTGTTAATATGTCTTATCTTTTTGCTTCCTCAAGTACTAATAATCTACGCAGTCATAGCAAGAAGGTTCTCAAAGCGCGATTTAATAAACTTAAGATGTGGCCCCGCTCTTCTCATTGAGTAATCAATGACTGGAACGCCTTACCCGAACAAGCGGTACTAGCCCCATCAGTGAATATTTTCAAGGAGAAGCTGAACCTTCACTGGAAAGCAACCTGTCAGCATTAACACAGGTTCACTAACCCACTATCCTTATAATTGAAGACTGAATTCTGGATTCTGAAAGTTCTCAGAAAAATCACCTCTTGAAAGTTACACTTGTCAGGGTTGAAGAAGGGAACCTGATTCTAAGTAACTCACGCAAACTGATTAGATCTGGAATATATGTCCATGAGGATCTCAGCCTAACTGACCGTATTAAGAGACGAGCTGCAGAAGTGGAAATAAACGAGCGCCGCCGAAACGGTGAAAGAAACCTCGTTCTTAAGGGTTTTCAAATTGTAAAAGTTCGGAGCAAAACGATCCCCAAGCCACTCTGGGTGGTAAGGGAAAGTTCTCCACGGACTTAAAGGTATGCTACACAAATGCTCGCAGCCCACTAAATCAAATGGCGGAGCTCAAGTCAATGGTGGATAAAGAAAAACCGGATGTTATTGCTATCTCGGAAACTTGGTTACTGTCAGAAGTTTTAGATAATGAAATTCAGTTGACTGGTATTCTAACCAGTAGGGCTGATTGATTAAACCGAAGGGGAGGCGGGGTTATTCTGTACTCGAAAATTACCCTAACCATAAGAGTGGCTGAGGCAGCGGCACATGTTTCAAGGACATGTGAACTAGTGCTATGTAAGCTGAAATGTAGACGGGAAGATATTGAATTAGTTGTAGTATATCGCAGTCCAGAACGTGTAGCAGATGGTTTTCTCCTAAGTAAACTTAAGTCCTGGTGTAACAAGGGTAAAAGCCTTGTAGTAGGCGACTTTAATGCACCGTATATAAACTGGGTTAACCTAGAAGTATGGTCATCGATAACGTCATTCGATCGCCAACTGTTAGAAACCTCGATTGAATTAGCTTTATTCCAACACATTAGAAGCCACACAAGATATGATTTAAAAAACTCCTCTTCTCTTTTAGATTTAGTCTTCACACACGGTGATGACGTTGTTCAAATGGCTTTTTTCCCACCACTTGGGAGAAGTGATCATGCAGTCATATTATTCAAATTCATGACTGAGATTGGCTGTCAAACAGTTGCGCCAACCATTCCTAATATATGGAAGGCAGATATAGAGGCAATCAACTTCACAGCATGGGCTAAAAACTGGGAAATTGACTCAAGGTCATCAGTACAAGAGACATGGACTCTTTTTAGGCAGTTATACAATCGGGCAACTCAACCACATATACCCTGGACAGTTCCAGAGAAGAAGAAGCACGGCCATCTCTGGATAGGCCGGGATATTCGACGTTTACTAAGACAAAAGAAGAAATTTTGGGATGTTGCTATCAGCCTTGGTACAGCAGGTACTATGGAGCGCTACAGATCGGCAAGAAACAAGTGTATACTGAAAATTCGTGAAGTCCAAAGAAAATATGAAATGCAGTTGGTACAATCTGCACTCGAGCAGCCCAAGAGAATATTCTCGTACATAAAGTACAGAACAAGGATGCATCACTGGATTCCCAACCTAATTAAAGTAGGAAGGGAATCTGAAATGATAGAGGAAGATCAGGGAAAAGCAGAGGCTATGGCTGACTATTTTGGGGCAGTTTTCACTCAGGAACCTCCTCTAGACAAAGAACCAGACCAAAATAAACAGTCAACAAACCGCCTGCTCACCGTGGACTTCGATCTAGACGATGTCCTTGAGGCTCTTAGCGCCTTAAACATGGGAAAAACAACAGGACCAGATGAAATACGCCCCAAAACCTTGAGATATATTGCACAATATATCTCGGCCCCACTGACTGTGATATTCAATATGTCACTTGAACAAGGTGTGTTACCTATGGACTGGAAGGACACAATCGTCACTCCTATACATAAAACAGGACGAAGACAAGTTCCATCGAACTACAGACCTGTAAGCTTCACCAGTGTTGTAGCTAAAGCATTGGAAAGAATAGTCAGATGGACCATAATGGCATTTATGGAAACCATTAACTTGCTAAACATAGAACAACATGGTTGTAGAAAGGGCTCATCCTGTACAACGAACCTCCTTATAACAAGGGAGCTTTGGATAAAGGCGCTAGATGACAGAAACATAGTGTATGTTGTCTACATAGACTCAAGTAAGACTTTTGACAAGGTGCCAACTAATAGACTGCTATTGAATTAGGAAAACCTTGGTATTGCCGGACCTCGTTTAAAATGGATTAAGCAGCTCCTAAGAGGTCGTAGACAGAAAGTAAAAACGAATTCCGAGTGCTCCATCTGGAGACCAGTACTTAGTAGAGTACCTTAAGGTTTCGTCTTGGGTCCTCTACATTTTGTAATGTATGTTGATGATCTTCGAAGTATAATACAGTCACCAATGTTATTATACGCTGTCGATGTAAAGATCTGGAGAGTAATAACTGGAGACGCAGACGCATGTGCTCTTCAGACAGACTTAAGTAATATGATTCACTGGTCTAAGGTGCGGCTGATGCCTATCAACGCGGCAAAGTGTGCCTACATGCACTCTGGGGATTCAAGGGTTAATAGGTACAACATAGGTGAAGTGCCATTACCCGTGGTCTGGTCTCATAAGGATCTAGGGGTGACAGTGAGTCATGATCTTAAGACGACGGCCCATTGTCGGAAGGTCGCAGGTAAGGGGTTTCGAACCCTCTGGGCTTTAAAACGGACATTCACTAAGTTAGATACTACCATGTTCACCACAGTATACACATCCTTAGTAAGAACTAAGCTTGAGAACTGCGTTCAGGCTGCAAGCCCCTGTTTAAAAGGTGACTCGGATGCCCTAGAACAAAATACAGGGAGCAGCCACCCGTGCAATTCCAGGACTCCGGGGTTTACCATACAAAGAGCGGCTTGAAAAGCTGGACCTCTTTACTCTGTTCTATCGCAGATTAAGAGGAGATCTAATTTCGATGTACAGAATACTGAGAAATGATTTTGGACCTAACTTATTCTCTATTTTTCTTCCCACCAGATCGGGACATCTCAGAGGATATAGCAGGAGGAGAGTAGAAAAGCCAGGAACGAACAAAATACCTGTGGTATGCAGGTTTTCACACCGTGTCATCAATACTTGGAACCTGCTGCTCGAGGCAGTGGTGTTCCACCTTCAATTGACTCTTTCAAGAGAAGACTGGACACTCACAGAAGCATACTAGAAAGGGAATAACATAGGCCGTAGGCCTTCTGCCCTAACTACACATATCTGAATCCGAAGACTCAAGGTCGCTGAACTGATAAAGCGGTAACCTCAATCTATTGTTTCGGCACAGTTGTGAAAATGTTGTCATTTATTTTTCGAAGACTTTTGAGCCGACTCTATTTTCGTACTCCTAATTTGAACCCATCTTTCCGAAGTCCTACTCCTAAGGCTTTTGGTAAGTTACAATTTTACTTTGATATGATTTATTCAGTTTCAAGCTCGCCGGCCTTTGTATATAGATCTCATGCTTGTGGTGAGCTGAGCACGCGACATATCAACTCTACCGTTACAGTATGCGGGTGGCTTGAACATTGTCGACTGTCATCTCGTTTTCTTGTTCTTCGTGATGATCGTGGCTTAATACAAATATATTGTGATAAGAATTCTCTCCCAATTCCGCAGCTTTCTTTTGAGTCTGTCCTGAGAGTGACAGGTAAAGTCCAAGCACGTCCGGAAAAGGATGTAAATAAGGTAGTGTTATTTGTGTTATATCTTAGCTTCAAGCTTATGCCAACTGGCGAAATTGAAATAATTGCCGAAAGCATTGAAATCCTCAGTCATTCGTCTTTACTTTCCTTTCTTCCGAAAGATGCAGCGAATGTTAGTTGTTATCCTACGATCACTCAGTCATTTTAAGGTCAACGAAACAGAAAGATTAAAATATCGTTACCTTGATCTTCGTTCGTCGAATATGCAAAGAAACATGCGGTTTCGTTCATCTATCACTTTGCAAATGCGAAGCTTCTTGTGTCAAAATAATGGTATTGTACATCTTTTGTGATTCACATATATAGGTTTTATTGAAATCGAAACTCCATATTTGTTCAAAATTACTCCAGGGGCAAGTACTTGTGATAATTTCTGATTTCTTTAGGGTGCCCGTGAGTTTATTGTACCTACCAAGTTTCCTGGATTATGGTACTGCTTACCTCAAAGCCCCCAACAATTCAAACAACTTTTGATGATAAGTGGGTTTAGTAAATATATGCAGATCGCCAGATGTTTTCGAGACGAGACTTCTAGATCTGACAGACAGCCCGAATTTACTCAGGTTATTTTCCATTCTTCCTAACTTTTGTAGTTGGACATAGAAATGGCATTTATCACTCCAAATGATATTTATGAAATAATTGAGAATATGTTGTTATATATTTGGCCTACAGTTCAGAGTACTTCAGGTTGTCGGCCAATTTCGGCACCTTTTTTGCGCATGAAATATTGTGATGCTATGTCACGATATGGAAGTGACAAACCAGATATACGCTTTGGTTTCTTATTTTCATACTCCGCTGTTGATGGGTACACCGGTTTTAATATACCAAGGAAATACGTAAGTGTCTTATGGTTCTTCGCTTTCTAGGTTCTCGAAAGCTTATATGTAGTTAGTAAATGCCAGGTTTATATTTCACTAGAGAGAAAATTGTCCATCTGGACACTTCTCTGTATCATTTGAATATAGAAAAGTGCAATAATAATTCATCGACTTCATAGCTCAACAGCGGTGATATGTTGAGATAATTTTCTCGAAATAGCTTCATCCTCAGAGCAACTTGGTACGTGTTAGCTAATTTTTATGAGTTCGTTTAATGTTGGTTATATCCCGCTGATGACTGCTTTGTTAATGCTATCTTTTGATAATGGTAAGAAGATAGTCGTTTTCTCAGCAATGTGAAGAGTGTTCGTTATTTATCTTAATGGCTTCATCAACGTTGATCAATGTATTAAAATTGATCCTGGTATTCAGAGTAGTAGTGAGAACTCCACAGTTTTATAGCACTTCCACAAAAATATTAGTCTAATAACTAGTGGGTTTTGAATAGTAGATAATGACCTTCAGCAAAAAATTCCCCTCACACCTATTGTCATACTAATGGGATTCATTCTCCATAGTATCCGACACGCAATTCGCCAAACGTTTGTTAATGATAATCGAAAAAAACTGTGTAAGTGCTGATTTCTTGATTGAGGTCTAAGATCGCAATGATTTTTCATATTTCCTCAATTTTCCCGGTTTTATTCAAATATCCGTATTGTTCTTTCACTTGATTTCCCTTTTGTAGTAATTTCTTCCCACTTTTCTAATAAGAAACGTGGAAACCTCGAACAGTTTGGATTTACTCCAGGCCCTTTATTGTTTACGGTGTATATCTCGTATAATATTGGCTTTCTTCTTCTTTCAGTCATCGAGTTTAAGTGCTGAAGATTGGGACTCCTTGGAGGATTTGGTTTTCCGCCTAACGGGCCAAGTATGTCATCTGTATCTTCGTTTTCTGCGGGGTGTTTTTAAGTGCTTTATTTTATTAAACTTGATTTTACCCCAAATTTTACACATGCTTATGAGTGCTAAACAAACTTCTCATGTTAAGCATTTCGAAGAATCCACACAATTATAAAAATGAAATCAGCTCAGTGGGTCAGTTATAAAGCCGCGTACATGTGTGCGTCAGTGCAAGTCCTCATGCCGCGTCTCCAAGACCAGATGAAATTGACAATAGGAAGAATAACATTTTTCGAAGTAATAGTATAACTGGTAATAATGAGAAAGATTGCGTACTGAAGAACCCTGTTCTTAAAGAATGGATTAGTTCAAGGAATAAAATTGCGAATTGATTTTTAAGCTCAAGACTTAAGGGGCAATGAGTAAATGGATCTGTGTCACTTTTTGGTTCTGACCCATTCCATCCTACGCCTCCAACCGCTGACCATGATTATTGTGCAGACCCCAACCAGTTGGTTTACACTCACCAACAAAATAGTAATTTTATGTGCTGATGATGTGTCTTCGGAAGTGTCAGCCTCCCATGTACCCTTATTAACAACAGAGTTTGTGTTTGTAATCTTCTACTTGGTACATGTGGGTGGTAATACAGTTTTTAAAAACAATAACATAAGCTCATCAGTCGTCTGAAACTCCAATAGTGTTAAGGATGGTTGAAACAAACTTATATTTTTATCAGGATCGAATGTAAGTATCAATTCATTTTCATTTAGTTAGGCAATCATTATAATTAAAACAAATGGTTTGTCTGTTTAACATTTCACTCCATCGATTATTAGAAACTTAATTGGAGTTAACGGAAAACCTAATGGTTGGTGGAATATCAGTGTTATACCCTGCTTATTGCTATTCGGAAACTATTTAGTTTGTATTGATCAAAAAACACGAAGTTCAGTGAAGGGATCTCTTTTCAACGAATCTATTATCAAGGTGTACAACCATATATACGGTTGTATTCAGTCACGACTCGTTCACTGAATGTTTTGTTTGAGTTCAATTTTGATTAATGTTTCGATGGATTTGGCTACCTTATTTTCTACTGGTTTTTCATATTTTATAGAGAATATCAATCTTTGCAGTTCAAAATATCAAGTCAAAACACTTGGACTTATTAAATTTATTAAAGCCGGAGTGTGGTGATTTAGTCGTCTTCATTAAAGGAAATACAGAAACTGAGGTAACAATTACCTTTCAGACTGATTGGTTTTTGCCTACTAGTTAAAAGCATTGGGAATGGCACGAGTTGAAGTCGCTAAGCTTATTGATTCGAAAGGTGATATCTTTTTCTATTTCATTATTTGATCAGCTAGCTTTTAGATATCGACTACACTTGTATTCTTTTAGTGGTAATTGCATATTTTTCGAATGAGGAAACTACTTCATATACTAATCACTTACTGAAGATTAACTTCAGTTAACAAGCCTTGTTCCTAATGTTAACTTTGATAATGGGTGACGTCATTACAAACCGCAAACAGACAAATACTACTGAACAGCGTATTAATGAACTTGCAGTCTAGGTAGAGAACTTAATTCCTATTGATACTATTTAACGAAATTAGGGCAGCAGTTTAGCGGTTAAAACATTTGATTTTCGATGTGGGTGCCACCTATTTCGGTTCCAGCTTGTCGATAGTGTCAGGATATCGATAGAAATTATCTACCCAGCTAATTGCACGATGTTTGCTAAAAATTTCCTAAATATGCTTCTAACCAAAGACAAAATGTTTACCACAGAAAAGCATGACATAAAAAAGAAATAACCAGTTTATCTGATGACTTTCCCATGTTTATTAGTAATTACTGAATTCGCCAGTGAATCGTTATCAGGCCTGTTCGTGCGCTGACCACGGCTGGAATATTTATTCAAAACTATGTCAAACAGTAAACCATAGTATCGGTTTCCGTCTTTTCAGAAGGAATTCGTCTATCCTATTTTTTGTCCTCCAAATGCTTAACATCAGTTAGCAAGTTACTGAGTCAGTTCACGAAGTGTCACTCCTCTTTTTTGAATACATTTTAGAGGTCAACAAATGACAAAGTTTTCGTCAGAGCTTTTCTTATCTTACCATCAAAATACCTTAATTCTCTTATTTTTTAAATTTTTCTATGGGAATAGTGTTAACTATCTAAACATGCTTATCTGTAATTCTACTAGTCACGTTAAGGGTCCTTAAGAATTTTAAATGAAATCCTTTAACAAGTAAAATGAGTTAATTAGATCTTTTATTTTAAACAGATCGCACACTTAACATATTTTACCTTGCTTATGATCATGTACATGTCGGTGTTATTTATTTCCGATTAGGCGAAATTTGAACATCTTTAACTTTTAGAAGAGCCTAAAGATCATACTTTCATTTGCTAATACTTTGCTCCATCCAATTAGATTTAGTTATCCTTGCCCGATGTTTATGAATTATATGTCTATGATTATCTTAAGTTTTAATGCTGGAAATATATGTAATTTCAAGAAGCATTCATATTTTATTGTTCATTTATATCACGTAGCCCCGACGATTGGGCATATATTACATTGATATGAGATTTTCAGTTCTTGCTTCTGGTTTCAGGCAGAAGTAACTTTATTACGCTTTTCCGTTCATATTAAAGGTTTGTCAATATATGAACCTGGATTCCATTTCCTTTGGGTAAATCAATTTCCATTGTTTGAAAAAAATAACTTAGGTATGTGTTGTAAACAAAAAAAAGAGATGTATACTGTAGTGAATTGGTTTTATGCTAATTGTTGTGTTAATTCGTTCGAGAATACATTGAATGCAATTAAGCTTCAAAGAAGATTCTCGCATGTAATCTCGAGTTTTCTTTCGAATTCGTTGTATTGTGCACATGAAAACATAATTCGTGAAATGTTCATTGTTAATAGTCGGACTATTCAATCACTAACCCTCTTGTCATTTTGAAGATAGGGCACTAGAAAATTAATATTGTGGTTATGAGATCCGAAATTTCATGTGTTGCTTTAAAAACCTGCACTTAGCAATTGTAGCCCTCGTATATGTTGGTCGTGCTATTGAGAAATATTAATATATCCACTTGGAGAGACTGATTTCTACCCATCTGTAATAATAAAAGTTAGGTGAAACCCTTGAACGAATTCCAAGTGACCCTGAGGAATTTCAGCTAATCAGAAATCAGTTGGCATAGAGTAAGAATTTATTATACAAATCCAAAAAATAGATTGGATACACTTCTCTAACATGTTTTAAAAACTTACCCAGATTAGAAAGAGGCCCTATGCCTCTGAAATCGTGATGCATACGGTACAGGAATTCATCTATGTGACTTAACAACAGTCAACCTCTAGATCCGTGATGATGTTTCAGGAATTCTTTTAACCTTGACCACATTGCTTCTATATTAGTGTGCACTTCTGTGGTAGGGTCAACAAAATATCTCGTGAACGATGACACTGCTCGTAACCAAGTCTAGATAGGTATCTGTATGCCCTCCAGTCGCCTGTGTATATTGTGGTACCTGGCTTCACATACTCTCGTATAATTGGTATCACCTTTGTAACCTGTCAGTTTCTGAGGTTCTGAAAATATCCTTTTTGCGATGATTTATCATCTATACCAAAGACCTGCCAAATATATCTAAGGAACTGCTACTTAGTCTTCTGTCACAGTTTCTCTATTAAGTCCGCGTTTTCGAAAGACCGTCTCATCGATTTTCTCGGTTCCTCCAGACGACTGGTCCAACGTCGTCATCTTTACTGGACATAAGTCGCTATAATACTCGTACCACTGAACTGCTAAAGCTTCAGTAACATTTCAAAAGGTTGCAACCAGTATTACTGGTGCTCATATTATCCAGTCCACAATAATTAGCACACCCTGTCCTGGTATCAAACAGGATTGTTTCAAAAAGTCCTCGTTCTTTCAGATTTCTTTCAATATATTTTACATCGAAATACCATATCGTCCCGATAGTTTGCACACTGTTCAACAGTTATTTTAATGCCGCAATCATGAGTAATGGAGGTTCTTAGTAGTCCCATCTGTTGTAGCTGTTCAACTTTGACGTCATTCTTAAGATTCGCTGTAAACTGATTGTACGTGCTGAAATATAGATATCTGTGACCTTGAAATCATCTACTCGATTCTTATTGGCTCATCCATGAATTATAGTCTCGCCAAAATTCGCCGCAGAAATTACACTGAATATTAAATTCCTTGATTTGAATAGGTCGTTTATGAGTCCTTTAATTTACAATTTATTGTGGCCAGCCATGTCTTGTATGTTCGTAACTGTCCGGGACAAATTGTCTTATCATTGGGTAGCACTTTGACTCATTAGTATCATCACTTTATTATCTGTTTTACTGATTGCTCTGCATAATTTTATGTCAATTTATGCTCATTACTCTTTCATCGGATGTATTATGGTCCTTACTACTTATTTCCTTTAGGTCAATGGATATCAGTGCATCACCCATTCACTGCTGCGTCGCCAGAGACAGCACATTTCCTGTACACTGATCCGAGCAAAGTCATCGGTTTACATTACGATTTAGTTTGTAATGGTCAAGAAGTTGGAGGTGGTTCAATTCGGATACATAATCCTGAGGTACAAAGGTATATTTTTACCGAAATTCTCAAGGTAGATTTCTTATATATATATGCATATAATCACTATTATTTCAGGAAAATTCTTGTGAAATGGAATACTTTTTAACTGCTCTAAATTCTGGAGCTCCACCGCATGGTGGGATTGCGTTAGGTAAGTGGATGTTATATCATTACATAGATTCTCTCTAGGTCTTGATCGTTTAATTGCAATATTTGTAAATGCCAAATCAATCAGAGATGTAATTGCTTTCCCAAAAGCGGCTGATGGTAAAGATCTCTTATGTGGGACACCAACTATGGTAGATGATGAAATCTTATCACAGTATTGCATTTCTGTTTCTAATCTGAATAAAAGTTGATTTCCAAGCGATAATGTCTTGCCTTCCTAAGTGGTGGTTGCTTTAGTAACATCACAGTAGGTTGGGTTTTATTCTTGTTACGAAACTTTCACCATCATGGTATACTGATGTCTGAGTATCGTAAATATAATTAGATTATGTAAAAAATAGATAATAGATTATGTTTCATGTTTTTGTTATAATACTACGGTGCGCCTTCAACAACAAGGATACTTAAGAATTATCGGAATTAGAAACTTTAATTAATTTGCATCATTTTTGAAGATGGTACTCTCATTGCATTCGTACTACTATTGACCCCCATCTTAGCTGCGTCACACGCTAGTTGAAACTATATCAGTATTGCTCTGAATCCTGATAAATGCCCGTAGGTAGAGTCTCAAAATGTTGTATTTTAGATTGAAAATACTGTAAGTACAAGAACAACAATGTCTAGATTATAAAATGGGCTCGTTCTATTTCATAGCTTCTCATTAGCTCTAAACAGACTAAAATTACAAGGAATAATATAATTATGAACATATTTAACATACTTTATTCAGTGATGTTTAGATGAATATTCCATATGGAATCGTGAATCATAAAGAGACGAACAAGATACAGAACATATGATTAAATCTGTTAAAGATTGTTTCACATGTATGTGCTGAAAATGATACAAAATAGAAAGGGTAAAGTCACAATTACTAATAATTTAATTTGACAGAAAATGGTTACACAATTATGATCAAAATAATGAGCGATTGTATACGTATGTATTATGACTATATTCCAAACAGATCAAATATCTGAATAGAAAAGCTGTGTTTATGTTATAAAACCCAGTAGACTTGGGCCACAAAATTAGTTAATTGAAAATAAAAAAGTCAGATAATATCAAAGGCCGCTGCAGGAATATGAATTAGAAAGCTTTTATCAACCTTGTCCTCTAAAGAAATGACTAACTTGTAATAAAATCTATATTATCACTATGGGGTTGTGAAGATTATTACGTTTTTGATTGAGATCATGAACCGATTGATGTTAGACCACCGCTGAAAACCTGGAAGCAATGAACGTCCGTTTCGCCCTATTGTGAGACTCCTCAGCAGTTCGTGTCCACGATCTCTCTCGCGGGATTTGAACCCAGAGCCTTCGGTCTCGCGCGCGAACGCTTAACCTCTAGAACACTGAGCTGGCCGGCATCCAACGGTGTTAATGTCTAACCCCAACCACTCCACGAAATTTCGCGACCATCTCCCATTGTACTGAGGTAGATACCTGTCTCTACCTGGCACGGATTAGCTCCACTGGTCACAGCTTCTCAACAGAACTCCGAGAATTCCCTCGCGAAACCAGTCACTCGTGAGCACATGGTAGTGGATACGCACTGCTGAGGAGTCCCACAATAGGACGAGACGGCCTTCTAGTTTTTCAATGGTGGGTCTAACATCAATCGGTTCATGGACTTAATCAGAAAATCTAGATTATTTGAGCTCTCGGCATGAACGTGGAGGATAACGAGGTTATTAATTACTTTTGCTGTAGGCACTTCTAGTTACTTACGAATTAGCTCATCACTCTGTATCATTTTCTCGAACTACTGACCAATTTGTTTAGTGGCCTAATATTACTGATTTACTAACAAAATATTTTAAGTAAATAACTGGTTTTAGAAAGCTGTCATGGTAGATGAAATTCTCTATGAGAATATCTACGATTCCCAAACTTAAGGTTGATTGATTACAGAGCGGTGGCCAACCTCATGTTTATCAGTTCATAAGTGATGACCTAGTTATATAGTTGCATTGTGCCAACTAGACTAAGTTACTCTACATCTCTAAGTTGAAATTCATCATGATTTGCGTTCATATTTATTGAAATAAAAGGGGCAGGTCCGTGTAAGTCTATGCGCTACGTTCTCCATAGAAATCACTAAATCTCTGGTGGCATTTCAAACTGTTATGCTGCTTTGTGTATCATTCAGCATCAGAATTCTTACACTGTGTTCGTAATAATCACTCCAAAAATACCACTTTCTTCAAAACCAACTATTCTTTGTGGTCACCCAGCTTTTTATGATGTGTGGTAATAATTACACTGTTATCATGAATTTGGATCTGTTGGCTATACTTTAAGTTGTAGCAGCATTGTTTCATCTACCCTTGAATATATCTAGCTGAAATATTAGCAGCTGTATAACTTTTTTGTGGACCTTTGATAACTTGTCTTGACGTTTTGAACGTGAAATTTCTAAACGTATTGATGAACTTTATGTTGATGGAAATGTAATTGTATATCAATGGTCAGTATTCACATATTACCATTTCAAATCAGTCCAATAATGAGCGAAATTAGCCTAACTTAATAGTCAATTTTTGACTGCATAATCAACAGAATTGGAGTCGTACAATTATTTATGCTTTAAAGTGTGTTTATTTTTGTGAATAACTTTTCATTGCTGAACTGTTTAAATGTCACGTCTATGGGTAACTTATTGTCTTTAACAAAGCACCAGCTTTCACAAGCCAATAATAAGTTTGTGAGATAGGAATTCTAAAACCATTCTGCTCTTCAAAAAGGATCCCGTTTTCATCGAGGTATTTAAACAACTCGATCCAAATAATCTTATCTAAAATTTTAACAAACATGTCAAATTGGACGTATTAGTTTGTGATTCTCGATAGTGGTCCCAGATAAATCCTGTAAGTATAAGTGACGGCTCAGGATCGAGTCGTATGTTCCATAAATGTTTTCGGAGGTATACCATCAGGGTGCTGAAAAAGAGGAGGGTGAGAAACAGGACGGACAGTTTGCATAACTAGTGGGGTTTAGTCATTTGTGGTGAAACAATTAGGGTGTGACTATTTAGACTCATTCTCCTTTATTAAACCAATTTCTAAGCAAATGTGTTTCATCAGGTTAGAGAAAACAAGCCACAGTATGGAGTTGAATGGATAAACCAGTGTACAAATGGAAGGGGTTTAAAAGAACTGAGAGACTGACCGACTGATTCCATGTGAAGGTTTGTCTTGTGACGCAGTTGGGCGCTTTCCTCAATATGTGTCTTATCCACTTCCAGCGCTTCTTCCTGATTTCTCCCTTCTCTGGAATCTGGTTTGTTCTCTCCCGCAGTAGGTTGTTGCTGATAGTGTCTGACCAACGGATCTGAAGTATTTTGCATAGACAACTGTTAATAAACACTTGTATCTTCTGGATGATGTCTTTCGTAGTTCTACAGGTTTCCGCCCCATCTTGACATTTGTATTGAAAATTGTAACTTTGGTGTTAGTTGACAGTTGTTTTGAGTTCCAGATATTCTTCAGCTGTAGATATGCTGCTCTCGCTTTTCCGATCCGCACATTCACATCTGCATCAGATCCACCCTGTTCATCAATGATGCTGCCCAGATATGTAAAGGTTTTACATCTTCAGAATCTCCTCTGTCAAGTGTGATTCCATAGGTGCATGCTGTGTTGTATCAGAGAATCTGTGGTGGACCAGACAATTTACGAGCGTAAAAAGTATTAATAAAGTTATTAAAGATCAATAGTAATGTTAATATATATAAGTCAGTTGTTAAAAATACAGTAGGAAATAGGGATTTTACTTACATTCACCAAGTTGATTAGTGTTTGAATTTGGTCTGGTGCTGAAAATCCACAATTATAAATATTTGATGATTCCAATCAAGTTGATGAACTCTCCAATTATATAATCCCATGTAAGTTATGATATATTTCCAATCACAGTCTATAAATATAGATAATATTTGATTTAAACTTCAGTTAACTCAATCACAAATGAATGTAGAACGAGGGATATGTGTGCAACAATGTATTTGTTAGCAATTAACAGTATGTCATGCTATGTAAGTTACACAACGGAAAGTGTGTTCAAGGTCATTCACTTAAACAACACGTACAGTCATTTAATGATAAATGTACATACAGTGGAAAATTGGCAAAATAAATACAAATAACATTAAAAACTATTTACAAAATAAGCTTGTCAGGCATATCTCCACAAATCTTGCTTTTCCCTTTATGTATGTTGAGACCTACTACTGCTGAGACTGCTGTTACACTAGTCGTCTTCTGCACTTTTTTGCGTTTGCGATAGAAGAGCTAGATCATCTGCGAAGTCTAGATCGTCCAGTTGCATCCTAGATGTCCAATGTATCCCGTGCTTCTCCCCAAGTGTGACATCTTCATGATCCAGTCGATCACCGGGAGAAAGAGAAAGGGTGAGAGTAAGCAACCTTGCCTAACACCGGTCTTCACCTCGAACGAGTTTGTCAACTGTCCTCCATGCACGATTTTGCAGTTTAATCCATCGAAGGAATTCTGTATGATATTGACTATCTTCTGAGGCACGCCGTAGTGTCGAAGAAGCCTCCATAGTGTTGTCCTGTTCACGCTATCAAGTGCTTTCTCGTAGTCAATGAAGTCGGTGTAGAGTGGTGAATTCCATTCAGTTGATTGTTCCACAATGATCCGTAGAGTTGCGATTCAGTCTGTACACGATCGATCTTTACGAAATCCAGCTTGTCGGTCTCGAAACCGGATGTCTACTAGCAACCTATTCCAGAGGCTTGCATAGCGTGTTACAAAGGAAGTTGACTTCAATGTGCTTGATGTTCTCGATATCTTTAGTAAAAAAAAGGTAGATAACTACGTAGGAATAAGCAATATTTGATTGCTTACTTACACATAGAGAAGCAAATACCACCCACTAGCATTCTCCATCCAACTCTTTCCTCGACAATTGTTTCCAGTTACTGTTCGTGTTGTTGATATCTGCTTCCAATTCTCCACGCAATATGTTGTTTGGCCTTCCTCTTTCCCGTTCTCCTTCAGGATTCCAAGTTGGCGCTCACTTTGTGATGCAGTCTGATGATTTCTGTAATGTACTATCCACCTGCCAACGTCTTTTCCTAATTTCCTCCTCAGCTAGAACCTGGTTTGTTCTCCTAGCGTAGGGCTGTTGCTGGCGGTATTCGGTCAACAGCGGACATTGAGTATCTTGCTTAGATAACCCTTTATAAATACTTGTACGTTTTTGCTGGTAGCTGTAGTAGTTCTGGAAGTTTCGGCTCGATACAATAGAACTGTATTGACGTTCCTATTGAAAATTCTGACCTTGATAATAGCTTTTAGTCAGTTGTTTTGAGTTCCATAAGTTCGTCACCTGGATTTGTTGATGTGTATGGGATAGAAGGGCTAGGTCATCTGCGAAGTCCAAGTCTAGTTGCATGCAATCTGTCCATTGTATTCTGTTCTTACCCTCAGATGTGTAGGTCTTCATAATTCAGCCAACCACCAGAAGAAATAGGAAGTGGGGTAGTAGGCAACCCTATCACCGAATGTTATCGGCGATTACTTAATGCTACACTGGAAACTGCATAATGTAGCTGATAATTCTACTGGAAGATTAAGCCTGCTTTAGATACTCAGTTAACGGGATGATATTATTATTCTTATAATTATTATTCATTGGAATCAGATATAAAGGAAATTAGCTTGAACAAAGTTGGTTGATGAGCAGCAGCAGCATCAGCAGCAGCCGCAGTGACATTTGGAACATGCACCATTTTTGTCTACAAAGTCTGCATATTTAAAGCCAAAGTGACAGTTTTATTATTCGGTGAGTCTCATGTATGTATTTATTGTTGTTATTTGTTAATTCGTCATATTGTATATTTCAATGCTGAGCTTATTGTTATTGGTGTTGTTATTATTTCTTGGTATCATGTTATTTGATAATTGACTGAACCTTTTATGTAAGTGTATTCCATGGGTGCCATCTCTGTAGCTTTAGCTGTATTTAATGCTGTAAAGTGTGAACTATGGTTTGCACGCTTAGAAAGTTGTTTTGCTTTGTGTTGTTGGAAAGAGAATTACAAGTGAGAGCAGGAAATTTAGTTAGACAAAGTGGTTGCTGCCGGACAACGTTATTGAATAAGTGCCTGGTGTTATTTTTAAGTAGGATGTTGACTCATCATACGATTGCCTAAAAGGAGGGAGGTCATTCGTGTTACATTTCTCACCAATTAGCAGACAACTGAACAATTATTAGATAATGTAGAACTAGGTGACTGCATACCGTCTCAATTAACACGAAACATGACGAATGAATTGGGGATCGCATAATGGACAAACGTCCATTATATCGAACACAACCACCACGTGACACTGTGCATATTCTCACAGCGTTCCGTGTCACTTGAACAATTGGTCGAATGCACAACATCGACCAGTGACAGTGCCCTTCTTAGTCCCATTCACAGACATCATAGTCTGACTATATGGAACCACTGTGATGTATGGTGATGAGTGGTGATAGATTGAGAAGGAGATGATTTCCATCATTTTCCCACCGTATATCTCCTTCTTTCCTGGCTTCTAACGGAATATTCTTAACACTTATATGTATTTGAAGTTTGCCTTTTAATAGCAAAAGTATAACTCTGGTTTCAATCTAGGTCGTGGTAACTGGTGTGTTTACGTTTGTATGATTCGAAAGATGCAAGTCAGAAATTCCAAGCATGTCTTTTGTATGAAGACTAATGTGAGATACTTCGGAAATACTTGCCAGTGTTCTTTTTGAAACTCTGTTCTACCAATGACAATCGTCGTACTAGCAGAATATGAGAGACATGATAGAGAATATGCATGTGGTATGATTTTGACCACCAACTCTATCTACTCCAACTATCAATCCGTCTGTGGTGAGGGTAAACTTTTCAGGTGGTCAAAAGACTAGAGAAATTTTCGGTGTTTTTGAGGACTGTAGAATGTGTCCTAGTTTATACTCGTTTGACGTTCCAATAGGAGCTGTTTATTATAAACCAAGTAAAAAAGTGGACGTAAAATGCAAGCAGAATTGGGAATAAAATTAGAATAAGATCGAGAAAGAGAAATTCATATTCTCATTCCTAAGATGTTCGTAGCTGAGTGAGGTGGCATCGATGAGATTAAGCGTCTCATATCAAGTTAGAAACCCTTGATATATATGGTTAGTTAACTGGAGGAATTTTTACAAATTATGACGCGATATCTGGTTATCTTTCTGTTATGTATTTGAATACTTCGGACCATTTAGTTAAAATTTTAAACTTTTTTCTGCTGAATAAAAACAAGCACTTTTTGAGATTTTAAATCAAGATTAGTTTTAGTTTCATTGGCGCTGAATTTTGATTGCATGGCTACTATTTTCCTATCTTATGATATAGAACAAACTAGTTTGTTCAAAAAGTTCGAAATTGGCACTGCCTTGTCATAAATCCTATTAAATCACCTAATCTTTGTAAAATAGCAGCTTATTACTCAAAATGGTAGCCTTAGTGATTGGAGAAATTGAATTATAATATATGCTATTTACTTATATCAACTAGAACACTACGCTGACTTCAGGAAATTACAAAGCAGATTATTTTGCCACATTCTGAACATAGTTGACTACAATTTATTTTATCTTGAAGAAATTTTTGAAGGTTTATTGGATAAACCTAAAACTTTAGTCAGAACACAAGAAATAACATGCAATTTCAATGTTATTAAAAGATAAATTTACTTGCTTAAAATTCAAGTTGTTTAAGAACCGTTTAGAGTGATCTTTATTATTCAGATTTTACCCAGAAAGTATTGACCTTTGTCTACATACTTGTTGGCTTTTAAATAGTTCAAACTTTACACTTCAAGTATGTATACTGCATACATAAGTGAACGATATTTTAGCTAATTGTTTACTTATTTCACCAATGATATGGAACTACTTTAAAGTAGTTAAAGTGAACTTTGATCATTTTCAAAATGTAGAGTAGAATAGTTCAAATGAAGATAATAATCATAATGATGATTCCTTCATTGAGATTTTATAAACAACAGAATGACCCGAAATATGAGTAAATTAAAATATTAAAGTTATTCCATGATAGAGTAGTGACTTATTTAAAACTCTGGTCACTTTAAGCAGATCATTTTATTATTTACTTTTCAATATAACATTTTTGATAGAATAAAAATCTTGAAGCACAAAGAGAATTGCGTAAAAAAGAACGAATGGTAAAATATTTGAAATAGGTACGTAGTGAAGTTGAAGCGATAATGGGAAAGATCAGTTCTACGTCAGCATCTGTTGAGAAATTGAAACAAGAATTACGCACAAAAGATGAAGAAAATCGTCCAACAAAAGTTTCTTTAGAGCAAGCTAATCGTCATTTACAAATAACTGAAGGCAAATTAAAAGATTGTCAAGTAAAACTTGACCAACCGATTGAAGTGAATGAATCTATCACGGCTAAAATACACTTAATACCAACTGAAGTGAAGGTACAATTTTAGATTTTCATATTTTGTTTCATAGTAAAGTCTTTATATTGATTTATAGCATATTTGAATATATTTCCAGTTTCTAAAACAATTGATTGAGACAAGAAAAAATTAGTGTTAACCATTGACTCATAGAGAATGTACAGTCTAAAATCATTATATATTGATGAAACATTGTCATAACGCATGTCAGAACAATATTAGAAATTTGCAAAGATGAAAGTTGAAGACTCATTAGAATAATGTGATGATGGTTATAACTTAAAATAAGTAGCATAGTTCTGATGAAATGGATAAGATAGAACAATAAAATCAGTGGAATGATTACAGACTCAAAAGTGAGGAGAAGAATATGTGTTCGCCAGTGGCACTAATTTCAATTCATATCACTAGTGATTTCTCACTATTAATCAAGAATTTGCCAAATAACTTTGTTAGAAAGTATATATCTCTCGAACCAAATCAATCCAGTGGTCATTGACTTCATAAGTTGACAAAATTTGTTCATCTAGCCACCATTAATCCACTTATAACTTATTATTCCAGTAATCGAAGGTTGCTGAGTTGGTGTAATACAACTCAATCGGCTTCAACTTTATTTATACTACTAAATTACATGACTTTCCTTAAATCGACGAAAATACGCGGGCTAACCTTCAACCAATTGAAAAGACAATTATTTATAAAGTGCAAAATCACAGAAACACTAGTCAATAAAGTTATTTGCATATGTCATAAGTAATACATGAGAATGAATATAATTTCTATGTACAGGAATTTTACTGAAACAAAATTCAATCACATCAAATACATACAGTTTTAAGAACATGCCGACAGATGACACACAAATCACATAATAAGAGGTAATGCCATTAGCATTCAACAAAAGTCATGCAGGAAAGTTATCGTAATTAATGACATCAAGTTAGATTCAGTGTGCTATTGTTATAGTACAGTTACTTACAGATGTGTTATTTGGAAATTTTGAGATCCTGTCAAACAACTCCAGTCCAGCAGTATTTATTGTGAGATGGTGGAGAAGATTTGTAGCCCAGGCGGATGATTTTGGTGGAGTCTTGTTCTCTGAGCTGAATGGTTTGGTCGTGGAGCTTTCGTCGTCCTTCTGAACGACATCGTCAGCACAAACTTCAGGTAGAAGTGGAGTGTTCGAATTTCTCTACATGTGGTTCGTTGTTTGTCCTGTATACTTCAATGTTGATTAGTTCTTGTTGACCTGTCACTGTTTACTTCTTTGTTCCTATGTTTGTTTATAATTTTCTTGATTGGTTGGTAAATTGAATCAATTTCAATGTGCTTGTTGATTGCTGATCGACCTGAGTGCCAAGCTTCTAAAAGTTTTCTGGTGTTCTTCAAATTGCCTCTATCCAAAATTTGCACATTTTTCCAGTCGAATGTGTGTCCGCAGTTGTCCACGTGCATTGATATAAGAAAAGTTTTCTGGTGTTCTTCAAATTGCCTCTATCCAAAATTTGCACATTTTTCCAGTCGAATGTGTGTCCGCAGTTGTCCACGTGCATTGATATAAGTGGGGACATGTCATGGCTCTTGACTGTTAATTGATGTTTATGTGAGCGAAGATAAAGAGGGTGTTTTTCTCAGTTGGCACAATTTATTTTGTAGATGATGTTTGATTTGTCATTTCATCCTTTGGTTTGCATAGGATTGATTGTAGTGATTTAGCTGGTTTGTGTAAAACACCTATTCCGAAGGTTTTCAGTAGTTTCGTTGTCGTTTATGATATGCCCTTTATGTATGGTAGGATGATCCTTTTGTTGACTTCTGTATTTGACTTTGTTTCTGATGATGCATGTGTCTGGTATTTTTTTTAATGAAATTGACTGGGTAGCTGTTCTTTTGAAAAATGTTCTTGAGTTATTTTTCATTATTTTTTCGTGCTGCAAGTGTCGCAATGAGCCCTCGCTCTCTTGAAAAAAGTTTGTACGCAGTTGATTTTGTGAGCTCTTGGGTTCTTGCTATTGTAGTTGGCAATTTGATCTGTATGAATCGGCTTCCTGTATACTTCCTATGGGATAAGCTGTGAACTACATGTGGAGAAATTCAAACACTCCACTTCTACCCGAAGTTTGTACTGATGATGTAGTTCAGAAGAATGATGAAAGCCCCACGACCGAACTATCCAGCTTAGATAACAAAGTCAGTCAGTCGGTAACCACGTAGAACTTCGTACGTACATACATCAGTTCGAGTTCCACACAGACACAATTGTCGATTCAAATCCTGTAGTGGTAGAGGTAGTAATAGTATAAGCAGTAATCGGAAAGATTAGGGTTTGAAGATGTTATTCAAGGAGTATAATCCAGTGAAATAAATTTGGAAGGAGAAAAAAGAAAAGGATATGAAGAATTCAGAGGATTATAATTTGGGAGAACACAATGAGTGGATGCACCTGCGCCATTGCAAACCATTTTCAGCCATGTCATTCAGGGTCTCTAGCCATCGGTTGCTTTCATCTCGCGGTCACCAACCAGGTAGTCTACACCTACCAACATGACTCAGTCCACTTGTCAGTGAATTCATGGACTTGAACCATGTTTTGGTCTGGCCGCCCCTAGTTTTCTTCCAACCTACTTGATAATTCGTATAGGTTGAACCCTATATACGATTCCTAAGCTATCCCGGTAACCCGCAGTCTAGAACTACACAGCGACTTGAACTCCAGAGAGAAGACACAAGAACGAGAGAAAACACTTTATTCCAAGGTTCATCTTTGTACAGAAATTCAAGGGTATTTATAGATATTGGCGTCTGTTAAATCAACATCTTATTTAAGCCAATCCGTTAACGACATTTTATGCTACCGACCAATGGTAGCACGCCGCGCTGTAATTCTCGAACGTTCCATCACGCTCTGATTGGCTAGGACTCTTCGGCTCCTTTTGGGCCTCTGGAGGCTCCGTTGAAGTTCTCCGGAAGCCGACCCAACACCTCCCCCGAATAAGATTTCTTTCTCGGATCTACTTGTAGTTTGATAACTGGGTTGCGGCGGCGTTCCATTATTCTTGTCGTCTTCCTTGTCCAAGGCTTCTTTTCAATGTTCCTGGGCGTTTGTGGCATTGGTGCGTCTATGATTAAATCTAACGGGAAAATCGGCCGGTTACTTCGAGTCTGCACCGTTCTTTTGTCCTTAAGGATTTGATTTGTGTGACGTATACATGTCCCAAAAGCTCCTCGAACTCTGTACAGTACTCTTCCCAGTTTTTGCACAACTTCGCCCGGCTCCCATCGGTTCTTCCCGATGTAGGATTTGATGTAAACTTTGTCGCCAACACTGAAGTTTCGGATACTTGGATCGTGACTGCGCTGATCCACTAATTTGGATGGCCGCATGGCATCGAAGACGGTTCGAATGCGCCTTCCAAACATGGCTTCCGCGGGAGATTTGCCGTCTTGAAAATTTGGGTTCGGGGTGGATCTGTATGATGTTAAAAGTTTTGTGATCACCTGCCCAGTTGTCCCTTCTCCTCCACCCTTTCAGTAATGCTCGTTTAAAAGTGTCCACAAAGCGCTCTGCTTGTCCGTTTGATTGTGGATGATAGTGTGGAGAACGAAGATGAGTTATTCCGTTTGTTCTACAGAAATGTTTAAACGATTCTGCGGCAAATTGAGAGCCGTTATCCGTCACTAAGGTCTCTGGTACTCCGAAACAACTAGGTAGGGTAGACAACTTGTGGATCGTTTCTGACGTTGTACAATTTGGCATGATATATACTTCCGGCCATTTAGTGAATGCATCTACGATAATTAGAAACATTTTCCCTTGGATTGGACCGGCAAAATCTGCGTGAAGTCTTACCCAGGGTCCTGCAGGCATAGGCCAATACTGAGGCTCGCATTTCAAAGGATTTTTAGCGGCTTGAATTCATGATGAACAGTTACGGCATTTATTCTCGATATCTTTGTCCATTGACGGCCAATAAGCATAGCTACGAGCCAAAGATTTCATTTTACTGATTCCAGGATGGCCACTGTGAAACTGCTTGAGGACCTTGTGACGTAATAACTTCGGAATAACAATTCGATCACCGAACATAATACAGGAGTCAACAACCATTAGAGAGTCCCGTCGACGAAAATATTGCAAAAGTTCTCCGTCGAGGCGATTGTTTGGCCATTTCGTCAAGAGATAGCTTTTAACTGAGCTCAGTATCTTATCACTTTCAGTTATCTTCTTGATAGTTTCAAAGGTTACTGGGAGTCCATTAACTGCGTCATCCAACACGCGATGAACTTCTTCCTCGGCTTTTATATTTGCTACAAGAGTCTCCTCCGGGGTTTTCGATTGGGAGCCTATTAATCTCGACAATGCGTCAGCTTGCCCGAAAGCGGTAGTAGACTGATACTTGATCTTGAAGTCGTAACCCAGAAGTGTGGTTGCCCATCGTTGGAGTCGGTTAGCTGTATGAACGGGAATTCCTTTCTTTGACCCAAAAACTGCAAGTAGTGGCTTATGGTCTGTTATTAGGGTAAAATGTCGACCATATATCATCTTGTGGAACTTTTTCACTGCAAATATAATCGATAGGGCTTCTTTCTCGATTTGGCTATAGTTCCTTTCAGTCGTTGTCAAAGATCTGGCAGCGTGTGAGATAGCTTTTTCAGACCCATCAGGAAAAATATGAGAGATAACTGCGCCCACACCATAGTTAGAAGCATCTGAAGCGACGACTATCGGTAGAGAAGGATCATAATGTGTCAATAAGAGATCGGAAGTTAGGAGTTGCTTGATTTTCTCAAAAGATGCTTGGCAGTCTGCAGACCAATTCCATCTTGTGTTCCTTTGTAGTAGGTTGTTTAGTGGAGCACGTAGACGATGGAGATCGGGGAGAAAGGTACCGTAATGACTGACCAATCCCAAGAATGATCGTAGGGTTGTAACGTCCCTGGGTCTAGGCATTGTTTTCACTGCTTCAATGTTCTCTGGATCTGGTCGTCTTCCGTCTTTATCTATTATGAACCCAAGGTACCGTACT